AGTGATAAGAATAACTTAACTATCAAGTCATGTGAACACATGGATGAATACTATATGCATATTACTAAGTGAAAGAAGCCAGTCTGAATAGGTTACACGCTGTATGATTTTATTTATGTGACCTTTGACTATAGCGAATGCACAGATCAGTGATTGCCGGGGGTTAGGGTCAGGCGCTGACTAAATGAGCGAAGGAGGAGTAGGCATTTTTCAGGGGGTGAAAATACTCTGTACAATACTGTAATGGTGGGTGAATAACGTTATGCACTTAGCAAAACCAACAGCACTTCATAGCAAAGAGCAAATTTCAATGTACATAAATTTTTAAAAATAATAATTTAGGAGGTTAGAGAATCCCAGAATGGAATGCAGAATGTAGCAAAGAATCTAACTGCATTACAAATATATGAAGCAACTTCCATTTTAGGGGAACGGAGGGGGAAAAGTACTGACCTAAGTAAACATTGGAAATGAATCTGCAAGACTAAAGGCAAAAAAAAAGTACATTGGCGCTGTACCCTAGTTATTAGCATTCTTTCCCTCTGTTAGCAATTCTAAAACCCGTCTATGTAGAGTTGAACAATTAAGTCAATGGATGGTGGATGGTGGGAGCCAGTTGCCTCACTATTGGAGTGGGAGGTTACAGATAAGCAAGAGGAGGCAAGAATGACCCATGTGGTAATGGGTTAGAGTTGGAGACTTCAGTATGAGCTCATGTATGGCTTAATATAGATACAGATGGTTACATATAAAAAGTATTTATAGATGTGTATATATAGATGGCTAGGTGTACACACATATATTTGCTTTCTCTGTGGTCTGAGAAGGCCTACAAGCAATGTACTGCAGTAGAAACCAGCATACAAAGTGCCCAGATCTTGGTTTCTAATATCATCCCATATTGATATGAATAACTGATTAAACACATAATCAAATGAATAGGTAAATTTCCCATGTAGATGAATTTTAAATCATTTATGTAGATACTTTGGTCTCAGGAGGTGAAATGTACCTACCTCTTCCATAAGTGTGGACCTCACATAGTGACGTGTTTCTAAAAAGCACGGAATGGAAAAGGGGGATTTAAAAAAAAAAGTAACTTTACAGTGGGGGAAACTGATCAGGACTAGGTCAGCCCAGTGATGAACAATATCAACATCGGCAGTGATAGCATTTACCCTGAATATAACGTGTTGAGAAGAGCACTCACTTCTGTAGTCTTCCTTCCTAACATCTATGACTCTAACCTAATCACGAGAAAATTTTCAGAAAGGTCCCAACTGAGGGGCGTTCTATGAAACACCTGGCCAGTAATCCTCAACATTTTCAAAGTCATCAAAAACTAGTAATATTGGAGAAATTATCACAGAGAGCGGAGGCTAAGGGGACATACCAGATAAATGTCAGGTATTAACCTGGATAAGAACCTGCGGTAGAAAAATAATTCTGTAAAAAACAAGGAAATCTGAATAAAGTATGATCTTCCGTCAAAATTAAAATGTCAGTGTTGGCCCATTACTCATGAGAAATGTGCCATATTAATGTAAGATGTTAGTAATAGGAGAAACTGGTTGTGGGTTTATGGAAACAAAATGGACTAAGCGTAACGTTCTAAATACTTCATGTGGACAAAATATGACTGGGACCTAAAATAAGATGTAGTGAAGTACATCAACAAGAGAGGAGAGGTTCAAATGATTTTTGGCAATAAAATATATAAAATTTGGAAAACGATGAAATATTTTGTGTTGGAGGGAATAGTCAAGACTCACTTTGCTTATGGAGTAAATGCTGTTACCATTTAGTTGGATATGGAATAAAGTGTCGGGGGTATAATTTAGGGTGGGGATATACTGAACTCACTAATGCACATGTTGAGCTTCACCTGTCGGTGACACTCTCAGATGGAAGTGTTTA